TATAATAAAGTGGAAGCAACTGGGAACAACAGCAACTCAGCCACTAAGTGGTAGGCCACGTAACATGACAGAGCGGGGTCAGCACATGATGAAGCGCACAGTGCGCAGAAGTCACCAACTGTCTGCAGAGTCAATATCTAAAGACCTTCAAACTTGGTGTGGCCTTCAGATGAGTCCAACAACAGTGCATAGAGAGCTTCATGGAATGGGTTTCCATGGCCGAGCAGCTGCATCCAAGCCTTACATCACCAAGTGCAATGCAAAGCGTTGGATGCCGTGGTGTAAAGCCCGCCGCCACTGGACTCTAGAGCAGTGGAGATGTGTTCTCCGTAGTGACCAATCATGCTTCTCTGTCTGTCAATCCAATGGACGTGTCTGGGTTTGGCAGTTGCCTGGAGAACAGTACTTGCCTGACTGCATTGTGCCAAGTGTAAAGTTTGGTGGAGGGGGATTATGGTGTGGGGTTATTTTTCAGGCATTGAGTTTGGCCCCCTAGTTCCAGTGAAGGGAACTCTTAAGGCATCAGCATACCAAGACATTTTGGACAATTTCATGCTCCCAACTTTGTGGGAACAGTTTGGGGATGGCCCCTTCCTGTTCCAACATGACTGCACACCAGTGCACAAAGCAAGGTCCATAAAGACATGGAGGAGCCAGTTTGGGGTGGAGGAACTTGACTGGCCTGCACAGAGTCCTGACCTCAATCCCATAGAACACCTTTGGGATGAATTAGAGTGGAGACTGCGAGCCAGGCCTCCTCCCCCGACATCAGTGCCTGACCTCACAAATGTGCTTCTGGAAGAATGGTCCAACCTTCCCATAGACACCCTCCTAAACCTTGTGGACGGCCTTCCCAGAAGAATTGAAGCTGTTATAGCTGCAAAGGGCGGGGCCAACTCAATATTGAACCCCATGGACTAAGACTGGGATGCCATTACAGTCCATGTGTGTGTAAAGGCCGGCCGACCAATACTTTTGGTAATATAGTGTATATGTATATATATATATATATATATATATATTTGCGTATTTACCCTGTTTCTAGTTTGTAGTAAACTCCAAGACAGAGAGGTATCTTTCTACATGCAATTCTATGAGCTCAGATATCAGGGAGATCAGATTACAGACCTCATAGAAGAGGAACATGCACTCTCCTTGTGTCAGATTGGAGATTTAGCCAGTTATACACAGGCTGCCAAAAATCATGCAGGTAACTTATATTTAATGTAGTCAGGGCTGCTGTTAGAAACCCCTTACAGCCAACCTGACAGCCACCCCCCCTTCCTTCTCTACATCCATTCAATGTACAGAATTTAAAAAGCTTCTCTGCGCTGTCAAAAAAGGGGGTGGAGAGATGAGGTTACACTCTGCAGAGCTCAGTGGGGAGAACTCTGACTACTGATTGGAGGGAAGGGACACACCCCCTTCACACAGCACACCGGAACAGAGCTGAGGCTGTCAATCAGTCGGAGGTCCCTCCCCTGTCACCTTTTTTCTCTTGGTGTCAGGAAAACTTGTCAGAAGTGACTCATGCTGATAGCAGAGGAATGAGGCAGTGGACAGAAATGACACTTAGTGCTCTGGATTGAGACAAGCACACACTATAGAAGGATATGCTTTGTTCATATTTCATGTCTGAGGTCTACAACCACAAGGCTTTGGTAGACCAGTAGAGTTTTAGGTTTGGTTTCCTCATCCCAAAACATTTCATATTTTATCCCTCTCACTCTCCTTGTAATGAATCTAACTCCTCGGTAGAGCAGACAACAGAAGGAATTCCTCCCCGATCTCTCATACCTTTGCTGCTGTCCATGTCTCCATTTTCATTTTCTGTCACCTGTCCCAGTGGCAAGGAGTCACCGGAACAGGAAGTGAGGGAAAATCTCTCTACGGGGACACAAAAATCTGACAGCGGTTCCCCATTCTTCCCTGCTATATCCAAAGTTAATGGAAAACATTTGGCTGCTGTCAGTAGCAAAGAGGAAGCCCGAGAGAGAGCAATGCGTTCCTGCAGAGTGACATACCCACCATAGTCGGGGTCCTATAAAACGTACGGGGGGGCGTCTATAGAAATATCAAGCTGTATGGTGCAAGGCTGGTCTGGTGAGCAGCAGAGAGATTATAGGGAGCAATCGGGGCGGGTTACAAGGAGCATTAGCAATCAGTGCGCAGAGCAAGTTAAAACAACCCCCATTTCAAGTCGGGAATGGGAAGCAGACAGAAGAATAAAATCTTCGCCTTCAGCATCCAGCCCCCGGGGTTAGCAAGAGACACATCTCAGCGATTTCCTTGATCAAAGCGAACTCTGCATTTTAACTCCCCGAAGAAAGTGACGCCTTGCCTCTTGTCAGTGGCTTACTATGACGTGGTAACTGAATCTTCCCAGCCTAGTAGGCAGAGCAGGCGATTGACAAGTGACAGTTAGGGAGTGGTGTGGCGGTCTGTGTCTGCTGGAAAGAGCTCTTGTCACTGACAGTTAACTGGGCTGCTTCTGCTAGGAGGTGGAAGAGACACAAATCCGGTGTATTCCATGCTGAGAAAATCAACACAGAATCCGGTGAATTCATTTTGTCTTGTTAGGGCGAGCCTTGTGGCACAGGGTCACTTGGTATTTATTTTTATTTCAGGTACTTATATAGCGCTGTCAATTTACACAGCGCTTTAGGGCAGCACAGTAGCTAAATGGTTAGCACTTCCGTGTGGTAGTACTAGCGTCGTTGGTTTGAATCCCAACCACAGCACCACCTGCCTGGAGTTTGCATGTTCTCCCTGTGACTGTGTGGGTTTCCTCCGGTTTCCTCCCACACTCCAAAGACATGCTGGTAGGTTAATTGATTCCTGTCCAAATTGACCCTAGTATGAATGTGAGTTAGGGACCTTAGATTGTACGCCCCTTGAGGGTTAGGGACTGATGTGAATGTACAATATATATATGTAAAGCGCTGCGTAAATTGACAGCATTATATAAGTACCTGAAATAAATAAATAATATATTGTACATTCACATCAGTCCCTAACCCTCAAGGGGCGTACAATCTAAGGTCCCTAACTCACATTCATACTAGGGACAATTTAGACAGGAGCCAATTAACCTACCAGCATGTGTTTGGAGTGTAGGAGGAAACCAGAGTACCCGGAGGAAACCCAAGCAGGCACCAGGAGAACATGCAAACTCCAGACCGGTGGTGGACCTCACAAATGTGCTTCTGAAAGAATGGTCAAACCTTCCCATAGACACCCTCCTAAACCTTGTGGATGGCCTTCCCAGAAGAATTGAAGCTGTTATAGCTGCAAAGGGCGGGGCCAACTCAATATTGAACCCTACGGACTAAGACTGGGATGTCATTAAAGTTCATGTGCGTGTAAAGGCCGGCCGACCAATACTTTTGGCAATATAGTGTATTCTATATTCACATCAGTCCCTACCCTCAGGAGCTTACAATCTAAGGTCTCTATCTCACATGCATACATACACATACTAGGGCTAATTTAGGCTTTGTGCACACTGTGAAGCTCCAAAAAATTATTTTTTTCCCCTACAGGAGTTTTCAGCATCAAAACGTAATTATTGTACATTCTGGCCATTAGAATGCGTTAACGCGTGTTAATGCACGTTTTTCACTTTTGAGTGTTTTCAAATGTTCAAAATTTCCTCTCCTGAACGCACAAATTATTATTTTTTCTGCCTATAAACTTCCCTGCCACTAAACTCCTGAAAATGCTTATAGTTTCCAAGGACACATAGGCTTACATGGAGGGGAGTTGACAGGCAGAAAAAATTAAAAGCTCAAAACAGCTCAAACTCCTGTAGGAGCAGCATTATGCATGAGGTCTTAGACAGGAACCCACCAGCATGTCTTTGGAATGTTGGAAGGCACTTGAGTATTCAGAGGAAACCCACACAAGAACATGGAGGCTCCATGCAGATAGTATCCTGACCAGGATCTAACTGGGGACCCCAGAGCTGCCAGCAGAAGTGACGGGGCGCTACTTGAATTAAAGGTGTGCTTGTGCTGAAGCAAAGACCTGGCACCATTGCCAGTACCCTTCATGGCAGTGCTCGTTGGCACAGGAATGCACCTGCGTGCACCCATGGACACTAATGTGCGGATACGCACTGGTGCACACCTGCTCTCATTCAAGATTGGCACCAAGCACCTTTTATAAGGATGAGAGCAGCATTTGAAGATTGCTGGTTGATCTTCAGCTCCCCTGTGCTCCTTGCTCCTGCGTTTCTTGTGTTCTTTGGACTTCCTATAGCTGACCTGGCTTGCTTTGGACCCGCATCCTGCTTGATTCCTGGTTCCAACCCCAACTTACTCATACAGACTCTACCTCTGCTGACCACCCGTGCATGACTCTGCTTGCTTGTCTCACTATCCTTCTGACCAGTCACCTAGCTCCTGTGCATGACCTTAACTCAGTCTTGACTATGCTCTTGCCTCCTCCTCTGCTTGATCCTCCATGCATGACCCCGGCTCTCATCCTGACTATGCCACTTCAGTTCTGCCAGTCTTTGAGCCCCGCACTCCGTCATCACCTCCACAAAGGAAGCCCTCTCGCCACTTTGGCCTCCAAGCAGGTACATGACAAGAAGTGCAATATATTATCTTTCTGGTAGCCCCTCTATTGAGATGACACCTTTTTGCTTTTCCCTGGCTGACCATATGAGTCAAATGTCTGTTCCCCCTTGTAACACAATGGGTTCTCTCATTGGCTCATGTGTCATTACCAAAAAACAATAATGGAAATGGCATCCTGCAAAAAAGAGAATACCCACCAACTGGTGACCCAGATCTTCATTTTTTTGAAGAGCTTGGCTAGCCACAGAATACCCTCCATTTGATCCATTTGATCATACTTCTGGGTGTGTTAGGTGTCATGTGCTGGCTGCTACATCACATCAGTTTTGCAGGGGCACAGTGAAACCATAGGGGGACAAAGGCATTTGACCCATTCAGAACTATGTGTTTGTGTGTATGTGTCTATGTCAATGTTTCTCAACCTTTTTTCAGTCAAGGCACCCTTTACAACTATGGACAGTCCCGAGGCACCCTTTAAAACTATGGACAGTCCCGAGGCACCCTTTAAAATTATGGACAGTCCCGAGGCACCCTTTAAAATTATGGACAGTCCTGAGGCACCCTTTAAAATTATGGACAGTCCTGAGGCACCCTTTAAAAATTATGGAGAGTCCTGAGGCACCCTTTAAAATTATGGAGAGTCCCGAGGCACCCTTTAAAACTATGGACAGTCCCGGGGCACCCTTTAAAATTATGGAGAGTCCCGAGGCACCCTTTAAAACTATGGACAGTCTTGAGGCACCCTTTAAAATTATGGACAGTCTTGAGGCACCCTTTAAAATTATGGACAGTCCTGAGGCAGCCTTTAAAATTATGGAGAGTCCTGAGGCAGCCTTTAAAATTATGGACAGTCCTGAGGCAGCCTTTAAAATTATGGACAGTCCCGAGGCACCCTTTAAAACTATGGACAGTCCTAAGGCACCCTTTAAAATTATGGACAGTCCTGAGGCACCCTTTAAAACTATGGACAGTCTTGAGGCACCCCATTCTAAAATGTGAAAAACTATTCTAATAGTTTTATATATAACACGGGCAACATCCACACATGTAGGACACCCAACATTAGAGGTGATTTATTCTTCCAAAGCAAGTACACTTTTGCACACTGTTACTGACTCCTATTCCAGTGTTTCTCTTCTCCCTCAGTTTTTCTCCATCACTGAGCTAATGTGACCCCAGCACTGATGGAGAGGAGCATGGGAGAGTCAAACTAGGATGCTGTGCAGGCAGCGGACATCCTCATCAACTGATGATGTCATGGGTTGTCAGGACACTGGCAGCTAGAAGGTCGTAATGGCGCACAATGAAAACCTGTGGCTTTGTGGAACTAAAAGGCAGGCTTGTCCCACCAGCTGGCTTTTATACAAGTTTTGGGCAATTTTTAGACATTTTGCCAAGGCAGCCCTGAAGAAACCTCAAGGCACCCTGGTTGAGAAAGCCTGGTCTATGTCATGAAGGGGGGCACTTTTAACCAAGGATGGGCTTTAATGTAATTTCAAAGGTTATTTTCAATCATTCTAAACTTGTAGAGCTACAGATGAACTGCGGCGGGCTCCCAGACCAATGGACCACTTGCTTCTGCTCTATGGACTACTAATGATCCTCAGCACATTGGTGAAGCCCAGGGTGCGCAGTGCGGTATAAAAATCAATGTCAGACAATTAAAAGAAATGATTAAAATGAATTAAAGAAAAAGAAATCTTCCAAAGGCAGCTTATCTGGGTGGCAAGCAGGGGTGTATACAGTATGTGCTTGGAATTATTCTTTTAAAATCTCTTTGCTTCCTTCTCCTCTTTCCTTTTCCGATAAGGGAAAATCCTGTATGACGGCAAATGGATGAAAACCCCCAGATCCCCTGCTAGACCTGTGGGCACCTTAGATAAAACCACAACTTGGTAGCTGAACAAACAGTGTGGTGTGCCCCCTCGTTCCCTGCTTCGCTCACCCTCCTGCCTTCTCCTCCCAAGCCTGAAGGCACATACAGCTCCATTCCTGCCAGGCCACAACTAGAACTGGCATGTTGGTGGCTGCTGTGTAGACAGGAGAGACTCCGGGTGCTAGGAATTAACCCTTTCATGACGTACCCTGAGATAGAAAAAAGAGCTTTGCATCACGTGGATGTGTGCTTATAACAGTGTAGGTCATTGAAGAGAGAACACTTGACCTTGCTGCTTTATGTCCACCAGGCACCCTGTGGCTGGCAGTTGATAGCCTGAATGTACAGAAAACTACATTATTTTAATACTAGTGAACAGTCACATTTTTTTTCTCAAATTTTTGAAAAAATTGGTAAGAGTCAGATCTTCTTTCATGGTTTTTGTTGCTATCGGGGTCTTCACTAGGGAGATTCCAGTGACACCAGTACAAGATGTCACATGATAGTTTAGTTGTACCAAAAACTGCGTATTTTTAATACTATGTGCTCAATATGTTATGAACCACACATTAAATTAGCTCAACCCCAGTCAAATTTTTTTAATTAAAATTTTTGAAAAATTAACTAAATCCCCATTCTCCCTTCGCATATCGGGAATCCTGCTCGAGTTTATTGTGCATTTTTTCCATGCACAAAACAGCCCTGTTCCCTTGAATGGCTACCCTATGCATCAAAAAAGCTCTTGCACCTTTTTGGGGCAATGCATGTGGTTTTGTGACGTGCATTTTGCCGCAATTTCCACACATTTTTGTCACGCGACAATTGCATTTTCCGCGATTATAGCACGATTTGGAATTATGGGCATAGTTGAGTGATTCTGCCCTTGATTTCAAGTTGACCAGGTGTGAATGGGGCCTTGGAGTCAAATCTTCTGTCAACGTTTTTTTTTTTGCTGTCGGGGAGATTTTCCATCATTTCCTGTTCCAATGACACCAGTAGAAGAAATGAGAGGAAATGGGTGTCTATATGACAGGAAGTGTGAGTAGATCACCGTTCATCCCATAAAACAAAACATATGCTTAGTAGGCTTCTTGGGGAGAAGGTTGACCAAGATTCAGGCTGGGTTCACACTGATGCGGTGCGGAATTCGCAGCGTTTTCTGTGCGAATTCCACCCCGTTCATGTGAACCGCTTCGGGTGTGCATGTTAACAACACCCCGAAATTGGTCCGCAAAACTTGGTGCGATGTGCAGAATCAGATCACATAGGTGTGAATACCCATGCAATCCGATTCTAGTGCGGACCCAAAAAAGGGTTCTATACCTTTTTGGTGTGGGTGCGGTGCGATTTGAGCCATACATAATGTATGGCTCCGATCGCACCGCACACAAATCGCATGTGATTTGCACAGGAATGCGGTGCGCCTCCTGTGCAAACCACACGCGATGTGCCACACCGCATTAGTGTTAACCTAATGGAAGCAGAAACAACACCTTCTGCGCTCTAGGACTCAGAATAGGGGTGGAAGGATGGAAGGGAACCTTGAAAAAGTTTGAGAAATTGCGACCACCAATGCATGGAAGGTTGCACAGCTCTAGAACAGTCCGCCCCTGGGGAAGCCCAGGGGTGGACTGACCATTTGGAAACTTGGGCACTGTCCGAGGGCCCGAGGTCAGTAGAGGGCCCCATGAGATGCCCCTGGTACCTTTATCATAGGCTTTTTTGAGTTTGGGCAAGGACACAGGGGCCCCATGATCTCCTATTGCCCAGGGGCCCCATGAGTTGTCAGTCCACCCCTGGGGAAGCCCGAACGATACTGTAAAGTGAAACAAAAAGAGAGCACACCAACCTTGAGCATTACCTCAGTAAAACTGTGATTTTATTGAATAAAGAATAATACTCACAAAGAAGTATAACAAGCATTAAAGGTCCTCAAAGAAACTTGGGAGAGTAGAACCAGTGCGAGTCACATCACGAGGGTAGACTCTCAAAGTGGGGCTGATGCATTTCGAAGGGGGTCCCTTCTTCATCAGAGACCCTGATGAAGAAGGGATCCCCTTCGCAACGTGTCAGCCCCACTTTGAGAGTCTACCCTCGTGATGTGACTCGCACTGGTTCTACTCTCCCAAGTTCCTTTAATGCTTGTTATACTCCTTTGTTTGAGAGTATTATTCTTTATTCAATAAAATCAGTTTTACTGAGTTACCCCCTTCGAAACGCGTCAACCTCACTTTGAGAGTCTACCCTCGTGATGTGACTCGCACTGGTTCTACTCTCCTAAGTTCCTTTGAGGACCTTTAATGCTTGTTATACTCCTTTGTTTGTGAGTATCATTCTTTAATTCAATAAAATCACAGTTTTACTGAGTTACCCCCTTCGAAACGCGTCAGTTCAAACTTTGAGAGTCTACCCTCGTGATGTGACCCGCACTGGTTCTACTCTCCTAAGTTCCTTTAAGGACCTTTAATGCTTGTTATACTCCTTTGTTTGTGAGTATCATTCTTTATTCAATAAAATCATAGTTTTAAGTTTTACTGAGTTACCCCCTTCGAAACGCGTCAGCATCACTTTGAGAGTCTACCCTTGTGATTGAACTTGCACTGGTTCTACTCTCCCAAGTTTCTTTAATGCTTGTTATACTCCTTTGTTTGTATCATTCTTTATTCAATAAAATCACAGTTTTACTGAGTTACCCCCCTTCGAAACGCGTCAGTCTCACTTTGAGAGTCTACCCTCGTGATGTGACCCGCACTGGTTCTACTCTCCTAAGTTCCTTTGAGGACCTTTAATGCTTGTTATACTTTTTTGTTTGTGAGTATCATTCTTTATTCAATAAAAATCACAGTTTTACTGAGGTAATGTGCCAGGCTGGTGCGCTCTGGAACCTAGCCTTAATGTGAAAAAAAATCAAAATTTGCATGCTCCATATTCTGTGAGTTCTGGGGATCACTGGGTTCACTACTGCAGTATTATAATGGCAGTTTATGTAATATTTTTCTTTTGAAATAATAAAGGAGCCTTACTTTATTTTTAACTATTAACAGTAAATGCCAAGGTCAAGGCTCGGGCACCACAAGATGCCTTCTATTACCTTTTATATCCAGGTAGCCTCTTCTGTGTGCCTCTCTGATTTAGTTTCATGATGCTCTCCGACATTATGGCTTAGCTCTATCAACTGCCTGTTAAAAGAGAGAGTCTGGCCATTGAGGAAGTCTCATTGGGCACTGGGGTGGCACAGGGGCGTATTTACCACAAGGCAAACAAGGCACTTGCCTAGGGCGGCATTTTTTTTAGGGCGGCAGCACCTCCCCCAGAAGAAGGAATGAAAGAAGGGACACACGTGCCATGGAAACCAGGTGGGATCCGAGAGAGGCTATGGGCTGCTTCATGATGTATGTAGAGCCTGACTCTCGTTCCCGGGCCGGGGCGGACTGACCATTGAGAAAGTCGGGTGCTGCCCGAGGGCCTGGGGTCAGTAGGGGGCCCCTGGTACCTTTAGGCTTTTTTGGTGTGGTTTGAGTGTGGGCAAAGACACAGGGGCTCCATGATCCCCTATTGCCCGGGGGCCCCATGAGTTGTCAGTCCCAGGGATGTCCGAAGCTGGGAAGATGAGCGTTTCTCTATCACCGGGAGGAGGGGGGTAGTGGAAGGCTCTCCCAGGTGGGGGGCATGGGTATTGTTGGTCAATGTCAGTCTCTCTCTGCAGGAGGGGGAAGAGGGGTTATGTTGGTCGGTGTCCATGGGGGCAGACGATTTTTGATTTGCCTAGGGCAGCACAAAACCTAAGTACACCACTGAGGTGGCAGTAGGTAGGACTTTGCCATGAAGTCATGGAAAGTTGGTTAGTAAGAAAAAGTCAAACTGAATCAGAGAGGTGCACAGATCAGGGTATGTAAGAGCAGGCATGATCTCAGCAAGTGAAGTGCAGGTATTCCATAATCTTGTAAATTATGTCATTTAAATCTGTCAGCCTTTTTTTGAACCTATGGCTTTTTTTCATTTTGTGAAAGCTGAACTTACACTTCCAGACACTTTATAAAGGAGGCCCAGCTGTCTTAAACAAAGCCAGCCTCTGCTTATTATCAGTTCTTATGCAGTAATCCTGTTATTCCTCGGATAAACATTATACCTTCGGAGATAACAATTACATATTGTACTCTGGGATGTACCAAATCCAGGATTTGGTTTAGGATTTAACAGACTACTCTGCGTCTTTAGCTAGCTTTGGGTTTGGCTGAATCTTTGCTGTTTGGACTCTGAAGTATTTAACTTCGTGTCATGAGGTCCAGCTTTATTGATATTGATTGATAAAAATG